CCGTATGAAATGTTTTTCCCTATTTTAATGTCATTAATAGATGTAAAGCAACTGTTGACAACGATTATTTATCCAAAGCAGCCGATACGCAACCGTTGTGAACCGGTTGTTTATCCGACTACAAACGAAAAAGGATGGTTATGATTTTACTGTGTGTGCGGTTGGCTAAGCTGAATCGCTTTTTGGAATGGTGCTCAAAAACTATTTGACCTATTTAAGAAATTCTTTCACCATTAGAATGCTATTATGACTGTAAAATGTATGATGTATTTTGATATAGACATATAAAAAACATATTCGTTGATGGTAGTGCCCCTACCATCAACGAATATGTTTTTAGCTAAACTCGTACAGTTCTTCACCGATTTTGAAAATTCTTTTACCACTAGAATGTTATATATAATTAAAGATGTCTAATGTAGGATGTATTTTACTACAGATGGCACTACTTTCTATGAATATGTTTTATTTGGCTTATCTCAAAAATTACTTGACTGATTTTGAAAATTCTTTTACCGTTACATTACTAATGAGGGCTTTAGTTGTGTGATTAAATTATATTATTATAATAATCATGTTATATTATTATTTGTTATATAATTATGTTATATTATTGTTTATTATATAATTATAATATAATGTTCAATTCACTTTCATGTCAAGGGCACTTATACACAATCAACATTGATTTTATATATTTTTTTATTTATTTACAGGTTTTACAGTACAAAATGTAGCCTTTAAACACACAATCTTTTATTGTCTTCCAGTGGCAGGATTTAATTGATTTTACGCAATGATTTGATGTAGTAATGAAACTGTATCGATATATGAAATTTAAAAAAATAAACATTTGCTATCACTTGGCCGAAGTTTACACTTAACCAAACTTACTTTTGTACGTCATTTTACTTAAGATTAAAAATAATTAATGTCTTCGCGTCAATATTTTGGGTTTTAAGGTACGAAAGTGTAGTACTCTATATATATTCAATAATAATAGATTAGTTCAATATATGTTAAATACATACATATCTAATGTGATTTTTGATTTATTTTTAACTGTTACATTAATTATATCTATTTTTTATTACTTATCTTCACTATTTTAGTGCGATTTTCGTACAGACCTACATAAAACACACATAACCACCCATATCTCTTGTATGTGTATATCCCCATTTACATACGTACACAAATACATACGCCTCGCACACATATTTTACACTCAGTTATGTCAATATGAATGAAATATAAAATCTCCCAAATTTTTGGGCAATCGATTCGCACTATTATTACCGAAGTCACGCACACTAATGCAGGCATGGTACGTAAGATATGCGCGTCACGTGGTACTCACGCACACGTGAATTAAAAACTGGCGTCACTGTGAACGGTGCGATGTGTTAGCAACACGGTATCTGTACCTATAAAACATCTTTGGTATTGGATATAACTTGTTAACCTCATATTTTAATATCGATACCATGAAACATAGAGTAAGATCTCAAATTTATAATAAAGTAAAAATTTAAAAAGCAATAGCTGGGTTTTGCAATTTATACGTATGTGAAGAGTTATATGACGTATGACATAAGAGCCCTACTCTTTTTTAAAAGGCCGGCAATGGACTTGCAATTCCCCTGATGCAGTAGTTCGTGAGCGGTGGTTGATACTTACCATCAGGTTAGCCGCATGCTCGTTTTCCCCCTCTTATATTTAAAAAAATATCGTAAATTTCTGAGGCTTTGTCACAGACTCATAAGTGTACTTACTTGCGAATCGAAATAATCCAATCGAATAATATCTAATGTTGAGTCTCCCCATTTTCATGACAATATGCAAAAAGTTTATGGTTTTATCTCAGACCAATTCAAAAAGTAATTTTATCTAAATTTATCATTGTGAGAAATGTTTCTAAGCACCGTTGCGTGCGATAGTTGTTCAGAAGTTTTGTTTTAACAATAGAGGCTGAATGTGTCCGCAATTACCTCTCAGCAAATGAGTTTTTTTTTCATTTGTAGAATTTTGATAAAATGCACGTAAATTATGTAAATAAAAAATAATATTAACTGTATGGACATTCGAAATAATGTAACAAGCCCAATTGTAAACATAATAATTAAAAAAAATCGTACTGCGTTAAAAAAATTGTACCTACATAAAAAAAATTATAAGGATAAAAAATTGCATAATTATATTATGTCACTTCGACAAATACCTAAGGAGAATTTATTTTTTTATTTTATTCTTTATTGCACCAAAGATTTTGTACAAAAGGCGAGCTTAAGAGCCCAGTCTTTCAGAGCAAAACAGAAAAATTGCGTTCTGGTGACACATCTACACCCTCCCTGCCCCGCCACTTCATGTACCGCCACCGCAGTTATCTTTCTGGCCGTAGCGTGGAAAGTTGCTCTACTAAGATTTTCCAGTATCAATTTATCTAATATACAGGATTATTGATAATTAGCTAACAAATTTTCACATACAGATTTTCTACCTCGTATCTATTTTTTGTTCCATGCTTTTATTACAAAATTCGTTACACAAAAAAAAATATTTTAAGTTTGTATAATTTTTGTTGTTTTGTTGAAAAGGTTTCTAAAAGATAATCATCTAGAACCTGTATAACATGTACTCGTATTATTGATTATTCAAATGAATCTGGCAAGTGCTAGAATGAGTCGTGCACTGAGGGTTTCGTAATAAGTCGATGACACTATCGAAAATCCGTCAAGTACGTCAAGTAGTTCTAAATACTAAAATAGATTAAAAAAAAACTCAAAATAATTTCTATATAAGTACAAACAGTCCACTATCACACATATTTATAGTTTCTCATTAAAGTATAATGTAACTTTGTATAGCATTTACCTATATGCATTACAAATATGCAACTCATTTATAAACTATTCTTAAAAGTACCTACCTAATTATATACCTAATATTTCACCAAGTGCTCACACATATGCACGTTGTTAACTATTTTACTATGAAACACAAAAAAAACTTACCTTTGAATTCTATTTCTGTTCATTGCTTCAACGTTTGATTTCAATTTTCGTTTTCTGGTACAAGCATATTTTTTACGTTTATGGTCCATATCGAAATTAAAAGTTATAAAACAAATACAAAATGATTTATAAACCCTTAAAGAATTATATGCAAAAAATAATAAAGTAGAGCAACTTTCAATTCGTAACAATGCGCAACCAAGATTAGGGAAAGAGAGAGAAAGAGGAATGTTAGAGCGAGAGGAAGTGCAAAAATTTGGCACAGACAAGACGTCTGAACGCTACAGCCGCTCAGCGGCTACTAAGGAATATTGCCCGCAATTATTGTTTATAAAGTCAATATTTTATAGGTCGATCGAAATAATTATTAATTTTGAAATAAAGTGGTTTAAATTATTATTTTTTAATATTTGTCTAATTAAACACCTGCCCTTGAGAAAAAAATAATTATAGCATAAATATTTTCAGCTATTGCTATGAAACAAATAGTTTTTTATGAGGCGAAAACAGCGAAATTTAACGAAATTGAGACCTCTTATTTAAGACAATGAAAGATATTTAGAAAAAAGAAACAGCGCATTTTGGAGATGAAGATGTTTAGCTATTAACGCGCTGAATAGATTTCGCCTTTTTATTATCGATTGCCTTATAATGGTACACGAACAAAGCTCGAAATTGCGTTGGGTGCGAGAGAGCTCTATTTACCGTTTGATTTATCTAACATAGACCACATAGCTGAACCAAAAAAAAAATTTAGCCATTACTTATAATCTGGGTATTTATGTGTTATCAAAATATTTTACTCTGAAACAATAATTTGCTGTAAAAAAAGAAATCAAAGTGGCGCTAATGATTCGATGTGAGTCAACTTTAAAAGACTGTAGCCTTAATGCTATATGGAATTCTCTACCAGCTAACCTTGGGTAGAACAGAGAGTGAGTTATGGGCAGTAAAGTTGCCATGATCACATTCAATTCAAAAATGTACATGCTAAACATACATAAAATATATATATATATATATACACATATAAATTATATACACTTACACATATAAATATTGTATTAGTTATATACTAATACATATATATATATATATATATATATATATATATATATATATATATATATATGAATCTTATGACATCCATGTTTTTTTGCGCCCGGAGCAAATATGGGCAACCCTCCGGAAAGCGGGGGAGGGAGGTGGGGGAATGCTCATAGCATACCACGCAGCCGGCTGCGTGGTTATGTGGAGACTTTTACCTACTAAACCCCACCTTTTAGGGACTGGCTTAATGGTCTAACTAGAGATCTCTACGCGACCCCCCCTTGGCAGAAAGGAGGGCACAACAGAAAGGAGGGCACAACAGAAAGGAGGGCGCAACAGAAAGGAGGGCGCATTAAAATGGTTTAGGCTTCAGAACCAGAAGCCAAAGAAATAGGTGTATGCTCAATACACATAATAATAATAATAAACGGCTACGACGTGAGGCTGTTCCCTCGTCGGATGAGAATGCTACGGCTGAGGATTTCGGCGCCACAAATGGTAGAGCAACCCGCAAACGTGGATGCCGCCGTGAATACCCCAGTTGTGGTTGACTCAAGCGATGATGGAACAGTCACCCAGGAACTGGAATTAGAGCATATGAGGAGTACATTGGAAGAGGCGATTGTGGAAACGCGCAGTACGCCTCTCGAAAATCGACCGCGACTTCCCCGCATAGCCCTAAGCAAGCGGAATCGGGCTGTCGTGAGGGCTCTGAACCCAATGCTGGTGACCTATTTGGAAGCCAGCCGGGACCTTTTGCGAGACGGACTCAATTCTTTTTGGCGCCGCGCTGGCAGTCTGCCGTATCATAGGCGCCAAGGTTTCCACGGCTGGACGTGCTACTGGCCATAGTAGCGCTATCCCAGCATGGAGAAGAAGAATTGAGGAACGTATCGCAAAGGCTAGAGCTCTCATCGGCAGACTGATATGCTTCAGATCAGGCAACAACAGGCCAAGAATTGTGCGCACCGTCAGGATGGCGTTTGCTGGGACAAATGTCAGTTTGTCCCAGCCGGATATAACGCAAAAACTGACGGAGCGCATAGATGATCTGAAGCAGAGAATCGCTGCTTGGGGAAAGCGGATTCGGCGATATACCGAGAGGTCGACACGGTTCAACCAGAATCGTCTCTTCCAGAGTGATCAGAAGAGGCTCTATGAATCATTGGAGCGACCAATGGTAAGTGGAACGGGTCCAGCACCGAATCAGGCCGACACTGTAGCATTCTGGCGCGGCCTGTGGTCAGAGCCCGTAAACCACAGCGAGGGCCCTTGGACGGAAGTTGTGGCGAGTCAGTGTGCGGGTATTACGCCCATGGACCCCGTCATCATAACGCCGGATGACGTAGCTGAGGCGGTCCGTAGGGCCCCGAACTGGAAAAGTCCGGGGCTTGACGGGCTGCATCACTATTGGCTGAAGGGGTTCATGGTGTGTCACTCTGTGCTCGCCCGACAGTTTCAAGAGGCTCTCAACCAGAAGTCGCTCCCAACACTCCTCTTCACTACTGGGATCACTCATTTGGTTCCTAAAGACCAGGGTACCACAGACCCGAGCAAATACCGCCCCATCACGTGGCGGTGGTCGTGGAACCAAGGAACCACTCCTCATTGACGCGGTCATTGGCAAAGTGGTGAAACGCAACCGTCGGAACTTCTCCGCCGCCTGGATAGACTACAGAAAGGCATTCGACTCGGTGCCCCATACATGGCTAAAGAGAGTCCTCGAGCTGTACAAGATAGACTGTACAGTTAGAGACTTCCTCGAGCAGTGTATGGGGCAGTGGAGTACGATCCTTTGTCATCTGGGCGAGCGGATGATGGCTGCGGAGAACCACATAAGGATAAGAAGGGGTATCTTCCAGGGCGATTGTCTGAGTCCAATCTGGTTCTGCCTCTCTCTGAACCCTCTCAGTACCTTACTGGAGGGCTCCGGGAGGGGATTTCAGCTACGGAAAGGAGGGACAAAAGTGACCCACCTTTTCTATATGGATGACCTCAAGTTATTCGCCTCCAGTCGCTCCCATCTTATGGAATTGCTAAACATCACTTGTGAATTTAGCAATTCCATTGGAATGGAGCTTGGGACGGGTAAGTGTGCGGTCCTCCATGTTGAAAGGGGAAGGGTTGCTAACTCTGAGGGCGTAGACTTATCTATGCCCGTCAACTTAAGGACCCTTTCCGAGGCTGAAACATACCGATACCTGGGTATGTCACAAAACATCGGTATCGATGAGACTAGTATGAAACAGTCAGTTTGCGACGTGTTTTATGCACGCTTGACCAAAGTGCTTAACAGCCTTTTGTCCGGTGTGAATAAGGCACACGCATATAACGGCTGGGTCATGCCTGTCCTCATGTATACCTTTGGCATACTCAGGTGGACTCAGACTGAACTTAACGCCCTGGATAGAAAATTCCGCACTACCATGACGTCCCATAGGATGCATCATCCGAGATCGTCGGTAATGAGGCTGTACTTGTCGCGGAAGCATGGTGGTCGTGGCTTCTTGAGCGCGCTCACCATGCATAATCGCGAAGTGTGCAGCCTCCGTGATTACTTCCCGGCGAGATCTGATGATCCATTCTATAAGGACGTCATTTCTTGTGATAAAGGACTTACCCCTCTATCCTTAGCCAACGAGCAATGGCAAGACCCGGCAGTGCAGAGCATTTCCGACCGGGAGACCGTATGGAAGGAGAAGGAGCTCCACGGGAGGTTCTACAAGGCTCTACATGAGCCTTTCGTTGACACAGTAGCCTCCCTCCACTGGCTACGCTTTGGTGATCTCTTCGGGGAAACCGAGGGTTTTGTCTGTGCAATACAGGATCAGGTTATTAAGACCAACAACTATCGGAGATACATCCTAAAGGATGGCACCGTCGACATCTGTCGAGCTTGTCGCCATCCCGGTGAGTCACTTAGGCATGTTATCTCCGGTTGTTCGGCGCTTTCTAACTCTGAGTACTTGCACAGGCACAATCTAGTAGCCAGAATTCTACACCAGGAGCTCGCTCTGAAATACGGTCTCGTGGATCGGAAATTGCCGTATTACAAGTACTTGCCGGAAGCCGTGCTCGAAAATGATCGCGCCAGGCTCTATTGGGACCGGGCCATCATCACAGACAGGACTATTCTTGCGAATAAGCCTGATATTGTGCTGATGGACCGGGCACAGTCAAGGATATTTTTGGTCGACATTACCATTCCGTATGACGAGAACCTCGTGAAAGCCGGAACAGACAAGCAAACAAAATATCTGGACCTGGCTCACGAGGTGACCGACATGTGGGGTGGTCTGCCGACCGAAATTATTCCTGTAGTCGTCTCTGCAAACGGGCTAATCCCAGTCAGCCTCTCGGGTCATCTGAGGCGGCTGGGACTACGTGGCGGAAAGCTCCAGGTTCAAATGCAGAAGGCGGTGCTCCTCGATACCGCCCGCCGGTTTCTTTCCCTTTCCCCCTAACCCTCGGCCGTTTGGTCTCCCCTGCCGAGGGCCTCCATCTGGTTGGGCTTTTTTATTTATTTATGTACTTTTATATTTATTTTATGTTATTGATATTTATGTATATTTATCTTTTCATTTTCATTTATAATTATATATTTATAGAACCCAACCAGATGAGAAAACTAAATAATAATAATAATGTCCTCCAGACCGAATTTCGGTCACGGCGGCCTGCCTCAACGGAGGTTAGCCATCGGTGCAGGACAGGATTATAGTGCCCGAGTGTATGCCGCAAGCACAGGTGAACTCTCTACTCCCTCACTCTCATAATGGGATGGGAACCGACACGACCGGAGAGAGATCAGGCGCAGGACCAACGGCTTTACGTGCTTTCCGAGGCACCGGGGTGAGACACCGCCCACTTCTTGACTCCGGGCAGCTACTGAGAATTTCTTGACGGAAAAACTCAATAATTGTTTTTTTAGCCCGACCCGGGATTCGAACCCAGGACCTCATGATCAGCAGTTGCACTAATACAACCCAACGACTAGACCAACGAGGCTACACACATACGAGTACATACACTCGATTAATTTTACCCTCACTTTGGGGCAGTCGGTTACAAAGGGAATAAATAAAATAAATTGCGTAAATAAAGATAATATTATTTTGAATGATTGATGTCCGTCTTGTCAACATACCGCACAAACACTTTCATAGCCTCTTTCATAAACTCCAGCCACTGAGATTGCAAGTTTAGCTCTGCATCCCTCTGTCGTATCCTTTCATTTAATTCTAATTCTCTCAACCTTAATTCCTCACGAGTATTCCGCAGCCTCTCTATTTCCAACCGCTCTTGAGCTCTGTCACGCTCCCTAGCATATTCCCTTGCGTTTCTTTCACATTCCTTCAAGAGATTTATTGTGTCAACATTTTTTCGTTTCCTTTTTCGTAGCATATGTCCGTCATCCCCTTCATTACTAGATCCACTCGAAGTTGGGCTACTTCTTTCAGGAATATTCCTATCTGCAAAATAAATGATAAGTAAAAAAATTTAAGCGTTAAATTCTCACAATGTATTGAGTATTATAATTATTTTATCTTTGAAAAATTGTTAGTCTAGCACTAACATATTCAACTATATCGTGGAGATATTTACATTAGACTAGTAACAAATAAAAATTAGGTTAAAAGCTTAGTTAAAGCCTAGGCATACGTCCCACCGCTGGGCACAGACCTCCTCTCATTTTCGTGAGGATTTTAGGGCAAAGAAATGTCCGCCGCACCACCCCAATGCGTCTTGGCAAACTTCACATGTCTTTGAAAATTTTTTTCTTATTTCCTCAGACTTGCAGGTTTCCTCATAATGTTTTCCTTCACCGACGAGCACTTTATACGTGGTAGAGCCATGCTGCAGTTATATTAGTAGTATAATAAGCATTTTAGCCATGCTGCAGTTATATTAGTAGTATAGTTATAGCACGAATGGGTCGACTCAACCGGGAAAGGACCACGCTCTCACAGAATACCAGCATAAAATAGCAGTCTAATACTGCTGTGTTTTGTATGGTGAGTGTAGAAATCCGGAGACCCATTTTACTGGAAACGAGGCATTCCATCTTAGTCTTAAGGGGTGACAACGCATCTGCATATTGATTCGTAATCAAGGATAGATAAAGATGTCTATGGACCACAGCAACCATTTACCATCAGGTGGATTGTGTGCTTGTTTGTCACCCTACCCTATAGAAAAAAACGTGGTATGTCAGCACTTAAAATTGTAATTAACAATTTGATTGGAGCCGGTGGGGATCGAACCTGGGTGGCTCGCGTACTGTGAAAATTAATTAAGTAGCGCTTAGCTATCACGGCCTTAACGAATATGCGGTTATTATTTGGTTATCAGGCTATTCGGCTACTTTTATCCCATTCGGTCGATTACCGAATATCTAGGTACTGTTAGCCCGAATACCGAATACTTAAGTAATGTTTTGTTGTAGTCAGATAATTGGTAAAATTATAATATTGATTTGTTTTCTAACAATGTATTTTCATGTAATCATTTAAGTTGTTATAGGTACATAACCAACTTCTGTGATTGAAAATTCTTGCTTGCCTTGCTTGGCAACTATGGCAAAATCTCCCCATTAAGAAGGCCTATGTTCAGCAGTGGACCTTTCAAGATAGTCTTACACGCAACATATGTACAATAATAGATCTTATCCAGGTGAAACCGTTTCAGGTCGCTGGTTTTAAATAAAATAAGGTTTACTATAGTTGATTGTATAGATACGACAAAAGATTACCTCTGACACATGTTTTAGGGCTGGTTTGCTGGTTTCGAGATTTTTCTTCCACTTTTTCTACTTCTTTTTCTTGAGGAAGGTGTCCAGGAGAAGTTCTATCTTCTTTCTGTAATGAAAACTAAAATTTATAGGATGATAATAAGGCCATAATATAATTTAAGCAGGTTCAAAAACAGTAATAATAATTGCAAACCTGTGGAAAATCAGCTTCCGTGGCCTCCATATCTGTAGGAACATTCATTATCTGCATGACTCTGTTTTCCAGGTCAGTCAGTGATGATTGAAGCGATAGCTTTCCAGTATCAGCAGTTCGATTAATCTTTGCAAACTTTCTCTTGGTGTTGTTTTTAAAGTCACTCCACACCTAATAAAACAAAATATGCCCAATAAACCAACAAGTTAAGTCGTATTGCAAAATAGGGAATGCAAGTGCAGTGACCATATTAGTTAAGAATATACACATAACATTGATTGACTTGGAATATGTTGCCATTATCTACTTATTTCTTATATTCATTACTGTTCATCAAAAGTCCTCCTGCACAGAGATTTCCCCATAAATTGCTTTATAGTGGCTTATAGTGCTTTATAGTTTTAATTGCCACATGGCAAATGCAATCGTAGTTTATTATGTTGCTTTATTTTACCATTCAGTGTAGTGTAAGAATATCCACTACCCAATATTGTCCTGTTGGTGTCGCAAGAGGCGGCAGAGGGAAACAAACAAGATGAGAAGCAGCATCTTCCTAATAGTGACTAGTAAAAAAATTGCCATTACCAACCTTCTTGCAGAGTGTGGTAGTAAATATTTTTTTATATAATAAGAGTGACAACCGAGCACACAGTCCACCTGATGGTAAGTGGATGCTGCGGCCCATAGACATCCACATTTATCTTCGATTAAGAATCAAAACGCATATACATTATCACCCCTCAAGACTAAGATGGAATGCCTCATTTCCAGTAAAATGGGTCTCCGGATTTCTACACTCACCATACAAAACACAGCAGTATTAGGCTGCTATTTTATGCTGGTATTCTATGTATTCTATGAGAGTGTGGTCCTTCCCCGGTTGAGCCGACCCATTCGTGCTACAACCACAATATAGCTGCAGCATGGCTCTACCACGTAAGCTATTGCAATATGAGTCAATCTCAGGTGAGGCCTATGATGATGATAATTGAGTTATCTCAAATATGCTGTTGCTATCTCTTGTTTCAGTTTCACCATATCATGATTTATTTCATGATTTTTATTTGTTTAGAAGCATAGTTTTGCATCTTATTAGCTAGTTAGAAACAATTTTCAGCTATTGTTTTATCCTTTGTACCACATCTGTAGTTTTAAACACATATTTTATAATACCATAAAATATAGCCCTTACATATTTTCGAAATCTGTTTAGGCGAAGGAAAATCACAAAAAAATGCATATATAGTAGTGATTAAAATAAGTGATTTGATTTAAAAAAATATCTTCAAGATAATTGATAAAATATTTTCTAAATAATTTAATAGCTTCTGTAATAAGAGTTTTATATATAAGATATTTATTTTCAGTGTTTTTATTTTTTTATGGATAAGGGTGACAATTTTATGCTGGTATTCTGTGAGAGCGTGGTCCTTCCCCTGTCAAGCCGACCCTTTCATGTTACAACTATAATATAGCTGCAGCGTGGCTCTACCATGTATAAAAAATTTCTTCTAAAAGTTTAATTATTTGACCTTTTTGATTGGATTATAAAATATCACAAGCTCAAGATAACAAATAGAAGGTCATCTAAACAGTTATATTAAATACTTCATCCCCTATTTTTCCACACTTAGGAGAAGAAGCTTTTCTTCCAATTTGAATGAGACCACCATCTAGGAAGGTATAGCGTATTAAATAAATAAAGAACTATTCAAATTTGTTTACAATTTCACAATACATATGACAAATATTTTCCTGTCAGTTGTATAAAAATCCTCCTCCGTTTTTAAGTCAGACTAAAACATTATCCTTCTTAATTAAGAAGATTGTCTTCAGTATTTAAGGTCAATACGTTTAAATTTTGTAAAAAAAAGTTAAAAAAGCCAGAAAGTGATAGAGCATAGTAAAATTACCTTACGCCACTTCTCCTCTGATTTTGAATCCTCTGCATCACAACAATTTAATATTTCTGTTAACTCTTTCCACTTCATCTGAATATAATGTCGACCTCTATGCCCACCAGAAGGTCTAGATATATCTCCGTATCTGGAAATAAATTATCTTATGAATTATAACTTTTTTTAAGTATTTAAAATTACAAAATATTTAAACTTACTTTTCCATAAATTCTACCATCGTTACAAATTGCCGATGACTTGTACGCATTTTTACCTACTTATGTTTATATTTTTAATAAAGTAGTTAAGAACATCTAATTCTTTCTTTTAGTTCCGTATGTCTTTATAACTTTATATTTGTAAACAAAACACCAGTACAGTACAGTGATCGAAAACAAATGTCAAATCCCGACTCTAGTAAAATGTCAATGTCAAATAATTTTATTAAGATTTTTGGCTTGGATGCTTGTTCTTTTAGTCATGTTTTCATTTTATTCGGTATCTTCATTTTTATCGTATTTTTCTTCACAATATGCTGAGTGCCACATTGCGAAGTTTTTGGGAGATTTTGACGACATTTTAACCCAGAGAACAGACGATGAAAACGGTAACTCAAGTTGTTAAGGCGTCTACGTTAACAAAATGGCTTGATGCCTATATCAACAACGAAGCTCTTGTTTCGTCGTTTTCATAAATAAATCACATGCGTAAAAACTTAATACATGAAATCGCATCACTGTTACGTATCAACATCCACTTTAAACCATTATTTAAGGCCGAATACGACGTGAATGACCTTGCTCGTTTTGCAGCAAACCACGCGCCGCCAGTACCTACGCTTTGTTTATATAGACATGTATAATACCTATAATCAAAGCCGTACGGGCTTTGATTATATTTGACGGAGCTAGCTCAGATGCAGAGTAATGAACAACACAGAGAGCATTGCTTACTTCTTAAATAAATTTTTCTTATTTATAATATTAGTTCCTATAGATTATAAATTCTGTACTTTATTCGTTATAAAATATTGTTCGAAAAGTTATTGAATTGATAACGATTTTTTTCTTAATTGGTGCAACGTACGTTAAGAACCTCATGCTGTAATGCTAATTGCATAAATAATAAAGAAAAAAAAAACTAAAAAGTCGGTGATTGCCCCATAGTGGGGATAGGTACTGTGTATGTAAATTCTCACAAGACTACTCCGACTGGTCAATCACTTCACATCCGAAGTATTTCGGTTTTTCTTAATTATGTACTTTTACCCCATGCTTTCGGACAATACATTGACTGACATTATTTGCGGTCTCTGTGCTTGCACTACTCTGTACATTCTTTTCCGACTGGGTCTTGATATTTTACATTTTTAGTGTTTCTCACTTGAAATTAGAAAAGTATAAATGATCAGTTTGGCTAATGTAAATGAGTAAAAATGCAACCTATTAGGCAGCCTCAAACAAAAAATTACCTTACAAAAATATAAGTATCAACCTCAAAATACAACATTCGAGCAGCGTTCATGCGATAAACTCTCTTTGTTTTACCACTTAGGTAACATTTATTTCTTTTCGGTGTTCTTTCGCGAGGATTTGTGGTCTATCAAATCTGATGTAATGGTTGGAGCCATCTAGGATGTGATCGCAAACTGCAGACTTCCCGGAACGTTGATGCTTCACATCAGCTATACGTTCTTTTACGCGGGTCCTAATTGATCTTTTGGTTTGTCCTATATAAGAGAGACCACATTCACAATCAAGCTTGTACACTCCTGCATCTTGTAGAGGAATATGACACTTGATGGATGGTTGGAACTGACTAATCTTCTTCGGCGGCTTGTAGAATGTTCTAATAGAAGCTCGCTTCAAGATATAGCCAATCTTGTCTGTGACACCTCTGACATATGGTAGTACAGCAGGCACACGCTCGACTGTGGCCGGCTTCACTCGGTCACTGTGACGTAGGCGCGGGACCCGAAGCTTGTTGTCGTGCAGAACTTGCTTGACGTGCTGAAGCTCGGCGGCCAGGTGTTTGCTGTCACAGATCCCTCGTGCTCTCTGTAACAAAGATTTGCCCACGGTAGCTAACTGTGAAGGATGGTGGTGAGATTCACCGTTTAAATATCGGTTTGTATGGGTCTTTTTCCCATACACAGTGTGACCAATGGTGTTATTAGGATTTCGGATGACTAACACATCTAGGAAAGGTAAGGAATTATTTGCCTCTAACTCCATAGTAAATTGAATTTTAGCGTTTATGGAATTAAGATGTTCTAAAAATGCAGTTACTTTGTCTGATGGTAAAATTGTGAAAGTATCGTCTACGTACCGCTTGTAGATCCTTGGTGTAACAGGTGCAGTAAGGAGGGCTTTCTCCTCAAAGTCTTCCATGAATATATCGGCGACAATGGGAGATACAGGTGAGCCCATCGCCACACCATCTACTTGCTTGTAAAACTCTTCCTTCCACAATAGAATGTAAGTCTTATATAGGACAAACCAAAAGATCAATTAGGACCCGCGTAAAAGAACATATAGCTGATGTGAAGCATCAACGTTCCGGGAAGTCTGCAGTTTGTGATCATATCCTAGACGGCCCCAACCATTACATCAGATTTGATAGACCACAAATCCTCGCGAAAGAACACCGATTCCTACCAAGGATGATACGTGAGGCTATTGAAATTAAAAAAACATCCTAATTTCAATAGAGAAGGAGGCTGAGTACTACCACCTGCTTGGGATCCTATAATCAATAAAATTAAAACTAAACCCAAGCATACCACTGCAAGACCTCAGGACATAGTCAGTTCATTTTGCATAGATCGGACCATAAACAATAATTAAAAAAGCTGAAGGTACTCCGGGTTTAACAATGACATCGGGACGTCAGTCATCTCAGTCCCCCGTGACCATGGGTGCTGGAAAGCGCCCGAAAGGTCGGGAATTAAAAATAAAAAGTAAAAATAAACGCGATAAAATCCGTAAAAGTAGTTTTAATCATGTGCAATGTTCGCGTAAATATAAGAAATCATTATGTAAACCAGTACGGACTGGAAATAGCAAATAAAATACGCCGATTAGAAGATCTGAAGACCAAGCGCGCAAGATACATAACAGCTTTAAATTTCTTGAAGAGATGCAGAGATCATAATCTCATTCCTACGTGTGTCAAGATATCCACTAAAAAAGACATTCGAGGAAGCGCCAAGATCTTAAATCAGGCTAGTAAAAAGTTGTTAATAACGGTGATTCAGCAAAAACGTACCGATCTATATTTCATAAACAAAACCATAGACAATTCGTCCAGTGAGTTAAAGACAGTTTTATCGACATTTGATTATAAAAATTGCATGGAAACTTTAGATAAACGCGAAACAACTAAATACAATGAATGCAAAAATAAACATATTGATAAATACCATAAATTAACAACTAAATCAAATGTCCAACATACGAAATCGTTGACCACAGACACGAATCATAAACAACGCGCTGTCTACAACTTATCAAAACAAACACTGGACGACGCCACAATAAAAGTTTTAGAAAAAGGTATTAATTTCGCAATAACACCGCGAAAAATAACGTATGAGGACATTATATGTAGTGTTGAGGACTGTCTGTATAAAAATAATATTGGTAATGAAGATTTAGAGGCCATACGTCAAGACATCTCGTCTATGTTACGTCGAAGTTCAGCGCCGAAGTTAAATCTCCCCAAAAATGAATTTAACGCGTTGAAAAACTTACGCAACAGACCAGAGCTTACGATTCTCCGCGCAGATTAAAGGTAATTCTACGTTTATAATGGATACGTCAGATTACAATTTTAAAATATAACAACTTTTGTCGGATGAAACTACTCATCGAAAGGTCAAAACAGACCCTACAACTAATACGCTTAAAACAACTAGCGATCTAATTAAGAAATACTCCGAAAAATTGAATCTGGACGTTAATTCGATAATACCTTCCTGTGCCAAACCACCGAAGTTGTATGGGTTACCAAAGATACACAAACCGAATGCTCCATTACGTCCAATAGTGAGTCAGATTGATTCGCCAACTTACAGATTGGCTCAATACTTAGCTAAAATATTATCACCACTCAGAGGACACACAAGAACACACACTAAGGATTCATACCATTTTGTCAGTGAGATAAAAGACCTACATCTTACTGACAATGAAACCATGGTCAGTTTTGATGTTCAGTCTCTATTTACATGCCTACCTGTTGAAGACTGCATCTCAGTTATAACTAGGAAACTAGAGGAAAATAACATGCCAGCAGAATATGCAGTATTACTAAGACATTGCCTTACATCTGGCTATCTATTGTGGAAGGAAGAGTTTTACAAGCAAGTAGATGGTGTGGTGATGGGCTCACCTGTATCTCCCATTGTCGCCGATATATTCATGGAAGACTTTGAGGAGAAAGCCCTCCTTACTGCATCTGTTACACCAAGGATCTACAAGCGGTACGTAGACGATACTTTCGCAATTTTACCATCAGACAAAGTAACTGCATTTTTAGAACATCTTAATTCCATAAACGCTAAAATTCAATTTACTATGGAGTTAGAGGCAAATAATTCCTTACCTTTCCTAGATGTGTTAGTCATCCGAAATCCTAATAACACCATTGGTCACACTGTGTATAGGAAAAAGACCCATACAAACCGATAGGCCCCCCCCCCCCCCTCTAGGGGGTTTTTTGGTGTACACACCCCCGCTATTCCAAAAATGTGACCGAGTGAAGCCGGCCACAGTCGAGCGTGTGCCTGCTGTACTACCATATGTCAGAGGTGTCACAGACAAGATTGGCTATATCTTGAAGCGAGCTTCTATTAGAACATTCTACAAGCCGCCGAAGAAGATTAGTCAGTTCCTACCATCCGTCAAGTGTCATATTCCTCTACAAGATGCAGGAGTGTACAAGCTTGATTGTGAATGTGGTCTCTCTTATATAGGACAAACCAAAAGATCAATTAGGACCCGCGTAAAAGAACATATAGCTGATGTGAAGCATCAACGTTCCGGGAAGTCTGCAGTTTGTGATCATATCCTAGACGGCCCCAACCATTACATCAGATTTGATAGACCACAAATCCTCGCGAAAGAACACCGATTCCTACCAAGGATGATACGTGAGGCTATTGAAATTAAAAAACATCCTAATTTCAATAGAGAAGGAGGCTGGGTACTACCACCTGCTTGGGATCCTATAGTCAAT